GCTGGCCAATATACACTACTATTCATAACTGATGTGCAGTCCTCTTCCTTCCTTACTTAATTTCTTTATTAGTGTCAACTTAAAATTTATAAGATGCAGTTTTAAATTTTTATTTTCATTTCAAAAGAATCACGGCAATTAATGAGTTTGCGATGATTGCACTTGTTTGTATTTAAACCATTCTGTCAAGTCTTCCATAAGGATTATTCAGAAAATCATCATGAATTACTTATTGAATAGGAGAAAATATCATTTAAAATTATATCAAATGAAAATTATGTATCAACGTCATCATTTTCGCGCGTTTTCAATCCACCGGGGCGCTGCCGGGATCGTCCTGGGCTCTGTCGTTGCCCTGCCTGGATCGACCGGGCTCTGCCTGTGTCAACCGCGGCTCTGCCGGCGTCATCCAGGAAAGACCGGGGAATGGGCTCTGCTTGGATTGTCGGAGACGCATCCTGGGTGTAAGGTGGGAATTACTGTAGTGCTGCTGGGTTAAGTGTGACCGCAACACTTATTTCACTCCGGATCGTCCCAGTAACTGACCAGGTTGGTACTTGGCTCTGTCGGAAGTGAGACCGCAGCTTAACAAGCATCTAACGTGCTCTAAACTTAGCATTCAAATGTTATAAGTCAGTGCTTGCCCTTTCTAAAGAAGTACAATTCATTCGATTTTAAGGCATAATGTGTATTTAATGTAATAATCTAAATTGAACATCTGTTTACAGCTAACTTTATTCAAAGTAAAACATCTATTTAATCTATTTCTAGGGAAAGAAAATACAAAACTTAAGTAACAAGTTGTTACGAATATCATTTGCCATGTTGTAACTTTATAACACAATCTGATTAAAATCAGCTCGTAAACAACGCTACACTTGAGGACCTAACATCCACATAGGTAGTCACCTTCTCGTGGTATTTCAAACAACCAATCTTTCGCGACCTTTCATTATCTTAAAAGCGATTAGGTTTCTTGTTTTAACCCTTCCAAAACTAAAACTGAGTAAGTAATTTTCACGATTTTGAGAACAAACAAGGCATACAGGTAAACTGGCAAAAACATTAACAAGAGGGCCCGAAGGGCCCCGGATCGCTCACCCGAAAAATAGGTCAAAAGGTCAAAGTGGAGACTCTTTTTACCCCAGATGCACAATTTGAAACAAGGGACAGCTTAATCTGAACAATTTGTGTACACTGTCACCAAGGAAATTTTTGTGTAAAATTATTTCAAAATTGAACCAGTGGTTTAGATGTTGTTTAGATGAACATGTTTCATGCCAAATATCAAAACTCTACCTCTTTAAGATTTTCACAAGTAGGTTTTTTTAAGAGTTAACTATATTTATATAAGAAAAATCAATGACCCCTTGGGCCGAAGCAATTTTGACCCTAGGGCTTTCATTTGAAAAAAAATAGTAGACTTCCACAAGATTTTGTTTTATGCAAAATACCTAAGCTCTTCTCATGAAATTTTTTTTTAGTTTTTACTACTCTTATATACATATAAGGAAAGTCAATGACTCCTGTGGTGGGCCAATTTTGACCATAGGGCACTAATTTGAACAAAGTTGGTAGATATCCACTATCTAATCTATAGTGCTTTTGGATTGTCACAAGTTGATTTTTTAAGTTTTTACTATATACATTTTAGGAAATCAATGACCCCCTGGTGTCAATTTTGACCCTAGGGGTTTTATTTGAACAAACTTGATAGACATATACTAGAAGATGTTTAATGCCCAATTTCTAAGCTCTATCTCTTTTGGATTTTCACAAAAATAATAATAATAATAATGATAATTATGATTCATTTAAGACTCTCAAGAAAAAAGTTCAGTATCTTGTTGCCAAAGCAAAAAAGGAATATTTTACTAATACACTGGATGAGAACAAAAATGACTCAACCTCTTTATGGAAAACTGTTAAAAATCTTGGTTTGCCTTCCAAGAAGGGTTCATCTTCAACCAGTTCAAATATTTGTTTAAATATTGATGATAATGTGTGTTTTGAAAAGAAACTTATTGCTGAATCATTTAACAAATTTTATACAACAGTTGCATGTAAACTTGTTGAAAAGTTGCCAGAAAGTATGCATAAATTTGGTACGAATTTTGTTAATACTTTTTATGCAAACAAGGGTGTTTTTGCAAACAGTTTTTCTTTTTCCATTGTTTCTGAAAGTAAAGTTCTTAAATACTTAACTTCATTAGGTGTCAAAAAAGCTACTGGCTTAGATGGTATACCCTCACGTTTTATCAGAGATGGATCCCCAGTTATTGCTAGTCCATTAGCTCATATCATAAACTTATCCCTTATCCAAGGTCAAGTCCCTGATGACCTTAAATCTGCAAGAGTTGTTCCCCTCTATAAAAAGAACGACAAATTGTCTGTTGGTAATTACCGGCCTGTGTCCATTTTAAATGTTGTATCTAAAATCCTTGAAAAGGTGGTTTATGACCAGGTTGAAGCTTATTTTAAGGATAAAGATCTGCTGTATAAATTTCAATCAGGTTTCAGGAGTGGCTTCTCTACTGATACTTGTCTGATTCACCTTACAGACTTTATCAGGTATGAAAATGATAAAGGTAATGTTGTTGGTATGGTGCTGCTGGATTTGCAGAAAGCGTTTGACACAGTCGACCATTCCATTCTTTTAATGAAACTGCAAGCATCAGGTCTTAGTATTGACGTCCTAAATTGGTTCAAATCATATTTATCAGATAGACAGCAGCTTGTAGATGTCTCGGGTACTTATTCTTCCAATTCCAAAATAACATGTGGTGTTCCTCAGGGCTCAATCCTTGGACCCCTTCTTTTTTTAATTTATGTAAATGATATGTCAGCTGTGGTCAAAAATAAATTGCTTTTGTATGCTGATGATTCTGGTATCCTTGTATCTGGTAAAAGTTTATCTGTTGTTGAAAAGGCATTGACAGATGATATGAAATTGGTCAGCCAATGGTTAGTGGACAATAAGTTGTCATTGCATTTGGGTAAAACCGAGTCAATTTTATTTGGGTCCAGGCAAAAACTTAGGTCACAATCTAACCTGCATATAACCTGTTCTGGTACATCCATTGAATCAACTTCATCTATCAAGTATCTTGGGATTACTATAGACCAAAATCTGTCATTTTGCGCCATGGCCGAGTCTGTTCTTAAGAAGGCCAACTCTCGGTTAAAATTTCTTTACCGCAAGAAAGAGTTTCTTACTCAGCATACCAAGAAACTTCTGGTTATGTCTCTTATTCAGTGTCACTATGATTACGCATGCTCTGTTTGGTATAATAGCTTGACACAGTCTTTAATAAATAAGTTACAAACTTGTCAAAACAAAATAATGAGATTTGTACTTGACTTGGACTCTAGAGCCCACATTGACCCATCCCACTTTAAGTCCCTTAACTGGTTACCGGTCCACAAAAGAGTTGAACAGATAATGTTGTGTCATGTTTTTAAGATAAAAAATGGCCTATCTCCGGATTACATGTCTGAACACTTTATTTCACAAGATTCCATTCATAATTATAGTACAAGACTTAGTCAAAAGGGTGGATATTGTCTACCTAAGGTCAAAGGCCAGGGTTCTAAATCATTTGCTTTCTCTGGTATTAAATTATGGAATGATTTACCTGTAAAGTTAACGGAGATCAACAGGTTACAAAGTTTTAAGGTTGCCATCAAAAGTCATCTTATGAACAGTATTTAAATTTTTTTTTTTTTTTTTTTTTTAAACATGTTTTTACATATTTCGGCTCAGGATTTTAAATTGTCTGCCATTTATCTTATTACAATTTTAGTAATGTGTTTTAAATCCTAGCTGTAAACAGGAGTATCATTAACTCAAGATTTGACTGTGATATACATTTTTATGATTTATTAGTATTCTTAAACATGATTATTTTAAGGTTTGCCTCTCTATGTCATGCCGCCAATACAAAGGACCACAATGGAAATAAGAGCTTTTTTGCCCTTTTTTGTGTTATCCTTGGTTTTGGTGAGCATGTCATAGTTTTACTCGTATGTGATATAGTATTTAATAATGCTCATTATTTTATCCTATGTTATATTGTCAACTATGTATATGCTTCCTTTGCCGAAATAAATCTATCTATCTATCTACACAAGAAGATTTGTTTAAGTTTTACTATATACATATAAGGAAAATCAGGCCAATTTTGACCCCAGGACTATTATTTGAACAATATTTGTAGATTTTCATTATATGATGCCCCTTATAAAATATCTAAGCTCTAGGTCTTGCACTTCCAGAGAAAATGATTTTTAAAGATTTCATTTCAAAAATCTATTTTAAGCCCACTTGACCTAGATGCTAAATTGAGCAAAACCATTTAAACAATTTTAGTAGAGCTTCATGCTAGGAACATCCTGAGAAGAAGTTGTTTGTAAAGCTAAAAAGCTAAAAGAGGTCAGTTTATCACATTTAGGTAAGCTCATACCAAATTTCATTTTTACATCTTAAACTGCTCTTATGGCCAAAATACCATGGCTAAGAAAGTAGGTCACTTTGTCAAAATCTAGGTCAGCTGATAATAAAGCTCAATCTATATCTTAATCTGTGCACATGGTCCAAATTTCGTAGCTGCTGTACATCAAAGGACAAGAAAGTAGGTCATCTGTCACTTTGGCAGGGCAAAATACTGACCCGAGGGTTTAATTCAAACAATCTTGGTACAGGTCCAACAGACAATGTTTCATGTTGAAAATCTAAGCTTTAGCTTTCTCCTATTCAGAAAACATTTTTCTTTTACTTAATGTACATAATGAAAATCAATGACCCAAAGGGGCGGGCCAATTTTGACCAAATGGCTATAATTCTAACAATCTTGGTAAATGTTAACTACACAATGTTTCATGCCAAATAACACATATCCTTAGTCAATTCAGAGAAGATTTTTTAAATTTGTTACTAAATACAATCTTGGTAGAATTCCATTAGAAAATGCTTTATAGAAATGTTTAAGCTGTGGGTGGTGAATATGATCTTTGCTCTGTCACATATAATTGGTACTAGTTGTTAGAGCTCATAAAGATAAATAAACATGTTAAGTAAGAAAGCTTTTGGATGAAAGCACATTCATTTTATTGCCAAGGCTATAATCTTTGCTACATGTTAACCTTGAACTGTGCTCTACATGTATAATCAGTTACACCCAATGTCCGTTGGTTTGTGACCTTTCACCTTTAACCTCTTGGTGAGTATACACATAGAGCACATCAATATGTATACAAATGTGACGTTAGAAGGCTTTGGTTGAAAGCATTTTAACTTTATTGGCTAAGATAAATATTTGCTAAATGGGTACATTTGAACACTAAGTGTTTAGAAGTCAGGGATGGTTAGAGCTCATCTATGTTAATATTTCTATTTAATGACAAAGGCCAATACTAGGGAAATGGTGACCTATCTTCACGTTTGAGCATATAAACTCTTGGGCCTGGCAGGTAAAGGTCATTTAGGTACATGCACCAGCCCTGTTAAGCTAAGAGGCTGTAGGTGTTGTAGTCAAGGTTTAAGTTTTATGACAAAAATAAACGGGTCAGACCAACAAGAGCTGTCACCCAAGTAACAAATGCCCCTGAAAAGGTTTCTTAAGCATGCAGGTATAATGAAAAGAGAATGAAAGTAACTAATTGCCTAATATTGTTCTTTGTATTATTGAACCTGTAATCTCTAATTGTGATAGCATGAACCTTCAAAATATAAGTGTGACCTTGACCTTTGAAGGGACGTGGTTCCTGGACGCGACAGAATGTTGCTATGAGATAGACATCTGTGCCAAGTTATTTCAAAATCCCTCAATGCATGACAAAGTTACAGTCCGGACATGATTGCTGTGTAAGTGGGGACACACGGACAAACAGACGGACATGAGCATTAGCCGCGACACATTGTCTTGATGTGGTAGACATTTGTGCCAACTTATTTTGAAATCCTTCAATGCATGACAAAGTTACAGTCAAGACATGAATGTGTATCTTCAAACTCTTCTCCAGTGAATGAGTACCTTCAAACTATATGTGTGACCTTGACCTTAAAGGTAGGGAAATGGGTTTGAGTTGTTACATATTGTCTTGATGTTGTAGACATTTATGCCTAGTAATTTTAAAATCCTTCGATGCATTACAATGTTACAGTCCGGACACGAATGTGTGTACCTATAAACTCTAATTGTGATAAAGTGAACTTCAGAATGGTAGTGTGACCTTGACCTTTGAGGTAGGGACCTGATCATTGAATACAACACATCGTCTTGATGTGGTTGACATTTATGCCAAGTTATTCTCAAATCCTTCTATGCATGACAAAGTTACAATCAGGACACAAATGTGTGTACCTATAAACTGAAACTTCAAAATGTTAGTGTGACCTTGACCTTTGAGGTGGGGACATGATTGTTAAACGCGACACATTGTCTCTATGTGGTAGACGTTTGTGCCAAGTAATTCTAAATTTTTTCGATGCATGACAAAGTTACAGCCTGAACACGATTGTGTGCACCTATTAATTCTAATTGTGACAATGTGAAACTTCAAAATTAAGTATGACATTAACCTCTGAGGTTGGGACGTAATTCTTGATCGCGATACATCGTCTTGATGTGGTACACATTTATGCCTAGTTATTCTAAAATCATCCAATGCATGACAAAGTTACAATCCGGACACGAATGTGTGTACCTAACTTCTCCAATTGCAATAATGTGAAACTTCAAAATGACCTTGACCATTGACGTAGGGATATGTTTCTTGGACGCGACATATCATCTTGATGTGGTAGACATTTATGCCAGACGGAGGGACAGACAGATGGTGCCATTTTAATATGCCTCCCTTCGGGGGCATAAAACAATAGGCATTCCTGATGTATCTGAATCTGGGGAATAAAATGTTACAAAAAAAGTTCCGACAGAAGTATTCTTGGATTTGTTCATTATTATTTCTATATGCATCAACATTTTTATAGTAAAAAGGAAATTTAATCTTTATGTTATAAGTACATGCATAAGTTAGTCTTGTTGTCCACTTTTTTGTGAGAATGTATAGTGACTTTCTTCAACTTCTGAATGTATACTTTGGAGAGATTCAAAGCACTTTCATATTCATTTTTTTTATCTTGTAAAACAATCAGTAGTGCTATATTACCAACCTGAACAATTTTGTTTTCAAAGCAAATCTAAATTTAAAAATAATATCAGACATCTCTAAAGTCACAAGTTGATTTTGGGACTAACTGCATAAGTCATTAGCAACTTTTTGCAAACTGTTTTATCCCGGTGGCTACAGCATCAAAGTGATTACAGCTGAAAACTGGGATCAAAGGTTAATGCAAATTTATGTAATCAATTTCATCAGGTGCATACATATTCTTTTTATCTTCCCCTAAGCCACAACCAAACTGTACATTCTTTTTGTAAGTTTCAAACACTTTTCCAGCATGTTTAGGAAACTCTGCTTTAAATCCTGTGTCAATCATATGTTGTGTTACTCCGGAGCAAGTATAACGGTAATTTATAGCAAGCCATAGTGCCAACACACCTGTCTCCAATATGTCACCACCTTGAACACTCAAAAGTTTAATCTGCGCACTTTCAAGCAAGATGTCATTCTCACAGTCGTACATGAAAAAAGAAACATAATTTTTAGCCACTCCTACGCATGGAATTAGGTAATTCTCATAACTGTTTTCTTCTTTTTTCTGCAGAAAAGAGAACACGATGGTCTGTGCAATTATTTGCTCTCTACGCTTGGATGGAAATTCGCTCACAGATCTAACCTCATCCGCTGACTGGTTTCCTGTCATTGATTCTTCTTTGACTGCCACAACAGGAACATCTGTTCCTAATATCAGGTCAATGTAACCATGCCATATACTTGTGCAACCTGAAAAAAATGAATTGTACTCCTTATCAGTTATCATTATGTATATAGTAGTATAAGTAGTAGTATCATTACTTTAATTATTATTATTATTATCATTATTATTACTTCATAATTATCATTATTATTATCATTATTATCATCATCATTATTATTATCATTATTATTGTCATTATAATCATCATCATTTGTATTATCATCATCTTTTTATCATCATCATTATTATTATTTTCATTGTTATTATTATTATTATCATTAGCATTAGTATTTTTATCTCAGCAATCTGATCAGTTCTTGAGAACAAAAAAAATATACCACAAGACCAGTTGGAAAGTTTTATGCTTGACTATTCCAAGCAAAGTTTATATAATAGAAAAGTCAAAGATCAAAAATTTAATCCAGCAAATATTAAAGCCAAATTACATCACTCCGAACACAAATTTGCTTCATGGGCATCACCATATATTGTATATTGTATTAAATTGTACAAATTGAAACCAATCAAAACTATATAAGGAGTGCAAGTCAAAATGCAATCGCAACTACTCGGCCCTATCTGTCAGTCTTCGGATAAGGACCTCGAACACAATAGTATGAATACACAGAACGGATGCGGTATTCCGGTCTAACCTACGCTAAGAAACTAAACATGTAAACAAATAGTAATTTAATGCTGGGAGTTGTTGACACGTTTATTTCCAATAAAGGTAGTAAAAGTCCACCTAAAATAAGTTAAAAAGCAAACAAAACATTATTTATATATTTACTACTATGGCTGTAGAAACCGAAAGTACAAAAAACCAACCTGTTGACATTTGGTCGGATTTATTTAAAATTGAACATCAGAGGGCATATTTAAATTACAAATTGTTGTCAGACACATTTTCAAGCATAAGAGTACCGGAACAGACATTAGATGTCAAATATATACATTCGTTTTACATTATCTCTGTTTCTGTTTACATCTGTAAACCACGTGGTAGAACTACTTTCAATCCGTATTGTTTCCGAGGTTAATATTATAGATAATAGCCGAGGCAGTTCCGAATGGTCAAAATGGACACAATGATTACGATGTCAAGCAAAGGTCGAGGTCAAGCACATTGGATGCAACTACTTTAAGGATGCCATATCTGTGTAAAGTTTATAAAAACTGTAGGAGTTTACCACAAAAAAATCATCATATTTAATTTTGTTAAGTAATACAGGTATGAATGCGGCCAAAATGCAAAAACTTGACTTGGACAGTCAATGTCATTTAAAGCTCCAAGTCAAGGTCAATTCAACCTTTTAGAAGGTCTTGTCCAAAGGTTGGTTTGTCCAAGTCTGAAGATAATCCATTTATAATAACAAAGTTACAGTCAATTATAGCAAAATCAGTGAAAATCAATTATTAAACGTTTCTGTCAAAGTCATAAATAAACCAAGGACAATTTGAGTCTGCCCTAAAGAATACTGTGCCTTCATATGAAGTCAATCCATATATGAATAACAAAGTTATAGCCAATTACAGCAAAAAAGACAATATCAATAATTAGACCTTGAATCTCAAGGTCATTTATGAGTATTGGTTAAGGTTTGTACGGTGAGGTTAAAGGTCTATCCGAAAAAAGTCCTATTCTGCTACTTTTACTAATTCTGGTTTCCAGTCTAATTTTCACATCTTCAGGCGAGGAATGGGCTCAAGATACTCTTTATCAGGGGGGCCAGTCTTGGAGTAAGGGACCAATGTTTTGCACCTGACATATCATCTCATTATTGTGATTATTTGTGCAAAGTATTTTTAAAATCCCTTTGATCTATGAAAAAGATATGGACTGGACACAAAATATACCCTATAACAGACTATGTTAATATTTGACCTCCAAGTGTGACCTTGACCTTGGAGGTAGGTGACCGGTTTTTGTGCATAACACATCGTCTCATTTGATTATTGTGAACAATTGTGGCTTATATTTACAAAACCCCTTCCAAGATTAGAAAGTTAAGGACCGGACATGACATATACCCTCAAATAGACAATGTTTACCTTGAATGAACAAGTGCGACCTTGACCCTGGAGGTAAGGGTCTGGTAATTGCGCATGACACATCGTCTTAGTGTAACAAACATTTGTGCCAAGTTATTTCACATTTCTTTGATAATAATAAAGTTATGGACCAGACGAGAAAGTGTGACAGATAGACAGGCTATTTCTATATCCCCCTTTTTTCTTCTTTAAGGCCTAGGACAATAAATTTTTAGGACTAATTCACCCACTTTAATACAAATGTATTTGCTTATTTCTATTTTCGAATACATTAAACATACATGTCAATGATACTCGGCTAACATTCATTTTCTCGAAAAACATTTAAGTGCAATATAATCACTCACAATTTTTTTACAGTATGTGGTCCAAATTTTAAGGTCCTGAACAGTATTATGAATTTTTAGCTTCTATGAAAAAGTTACTTTCCTTACTGAATATTATGTAAAGCAGGGATTATTCTGAAACAATACTGTGTTAACAAAAAGCATTTGGAAGTAAATATTTATGTGACAAATTAAACAAGAGCACCGGAGCATTATATGCCCGAAATTACTTTATCTTTTAGTTAGGATGAAGCATTTGTAAGACATGGAAATTAAATACAGTATTACCTTCTTCAAAAAGCATACCTCCTTTATAGCTGAAGAACCTTCATGTATATTTTCAAAGCACCACCATCAAGTTTTTATCTTGTAAGTAAAAATACTACAATGGATGGACAAAAGACGTCAGGGTATAAAGCAGTTAATCTTATCAAATTTTACAGCTGTAGGTTGATTAATATTTGAGTTACTGAGCGAAAACTGTTTCCAGTTTTAAGAAGATAGTAACCTTGATCTTTGACTTTGTGACCCCAAAATCAATAGGGGTCTTCTACCAAATATGGACAATCATCCTATGAAGTTGAATACTGTGGGCCAAATGGAACTTAAGTTATGCTCAAGAAACCATTTCAGTATAAAGCTAATAGTGACCTTGACCTTGTGATCCCAAAATCAATAGGGGTCTTCTACCAATATGGACAATCATCGTATGAAGTTTGAATACTGTGGGCCAAATGGAACTTAAGCTATGCTGCGGAAACCATTTTCAGTTTTATGGTAATAGTGACCTTGACCTTTGACCTTATGACCCAAAAATCAATAGGGATTTTCTACCCAATATGGGCAATCATCTTATGAAGTTTGAATACTGTGGACCAAATGGAACTTAAGTAATGCTCCAGAAACCATTTCAGTTTTAGGGTAATAGTGACCTTGACCTTTGACCTTGTGACCCCAAAATCAATAGGGCCTCTTCCCAATATGGACAATCATCCTATGAAGTTTGAAAACTGTGGGCCAAATGGAACTTAAGTTATGCTCCCCACCATCAATAGGGGTCTTCTACCCAATATGGGCAATCATCCTATGAAGTTTGAATACTGTGGGCCAAATGGAACTTAAGTTATGCTCAGGAAACCAAATTGCTCACAGACGGACGGACAGACGGACGCCAGGGGGTATAACATAATATGCCCGAAATTCTTTCGGCATATAATAAATAAAGTGATTCTTCCTATATAAGGGCACTTTGTTTTCTTAAAAATTATATTAGTCAAAAACATAAAATATTTCTTACTGTAATACTATTAGGATTGTTGAAGAAAGTATGATGATGATACAATTAGTAAATTTTGTTGAATTATACAAGAATCATTCAAAATTTCACATGGATTGTGAATAATAACACATTTGGTAACACTTAGATAATATAATCAATTGAACTGGTAGTTTTCTTATATTCTAATTTTTTAAGGATTTTTTAACCCATCTGGAGGAGTGCAGCTTGAGAAGACACTCCATGTAGCGAGACATTTTCCGACAGTCCTGGTTTTATTTTCTTGCATATCAGACTGATGTTTCAATGAGTTTTACCCATGCTGGAAATTTTATCTGGCATTGGGGGTGCCAGGTAAGTCATGTGCTATAAAATCACGTCACTTTGGCGCATTTAAGAATGAAACTATGTGCTTAGTTTAATGTCATTTCGCTGTTATGAATAAAATTGTAAATTTATTCCACATGCATATAGATTTGAAATTTTATATGCATCTAATGTTGTCACAAAACGATTCCTAACTAGATGGTCAGTTCTTATGTTTGTGCGAGTTTGACAATGTGCTTGCGAAAAATAAATTCCTCTGTTTGCATTGCATTTTTCTATTTTAAGCATACGAAATGATACCTTGTGATACCTTGTGATGTTTGGGAAACATGGGTTTCTTACCAGTACATCTAGGTAGGTGGGAAACGCTGAAAATGTCTCTGTAAATTCCCAAGGATGCTACCCAAGATCAAACATGGAACCTCAGGAGTGACAGTCAGTGGTCTAAACAACTGAGCTACAGCGCCACCTTCACATTGCTCTGTAACCCAAGAACCAATTTCAATATTGTGGGATAGTATGTTTCGGTTCAGACCTGTACACCCTTTACCACAAGTTTTGACTTGAACGGGAGATAGATTGTAATTAAAACGTACATTCCATATTGATCAGTGTATTTATTAGTCTCTTCAGAGCTGCTTTTTCTCCTACTCCAGCTGAAATCTGTTTGGGATTGCACAAAAAATCCTTTAACAATCTTATTCCACTTGCATATAGATTTGAAATTTTATATGCATCTAATGTTGTCACAAAACGATTCCTAACTAGATGGTCAGTTCTTACGTTTGTGCGAGTTTGACAATGTGCTTGCGAAAAATAAATTCCTCTGTTTGCATTGCATTTTTCTATTTTAAGCATACGAAATGATACCTTGTGATACCTTGTGATGTTTGGGAAACTTTATTAGTCCCCTAACGGACTATCATTCTCCTCGAGTTCCGTTTTCAGTGTCGTCCGCTCCGGTATTGGTCTATCTAATATATATTGTCCATTTTAAATCTCTTCCATTGCCAGTGTTTATCTAACTTAGATTTGAACTCATTAACATTCTTTGATAAAACTATTTCACTGGGAAGTAGGTTCCATTCGTTTACCACTCTATAGGTGAAGGAATTTTGTCTTATTGCCTTTAGTGGTCTTAACTTTTCTAATTTATAAATATGTCCTCGGATTTCATGATTAGTAACAGATAATTTGAATAACTTTTCATAGTCAAAATCGTCTATTTTGTGAATAAGTTTAAAAACTTGTATCATATCTCCACGTTGACGTCTGTATTCAAGAGTTGGTAAATTCAAAGCCCTTAATCTTTGTTCATATGTGAGTCCTCTTAGTTCAGGGATGATTCTTGTAGCTCTTCTTTGGGTATTTTTAACTAGTTGTTTATGTTTTCTTTGTTACAGGGTAATAAATGATATTTCCATAATCAGTGATTGGTCTTATAAGACCTTTATACAATAACAAAAATTGCTTCTTATCCATGTGAACAAAATTTCTTTTCAGCAACCCGATATGTAAGTTTACTTTATTAACAGTGCGACCGATGTGCTCATCGAATTTCAAATTAGACTTTAAATTAATACCTAGGTCTTTTTCCTTGTCAATGATTTCAATATCAACATCAATACCAGTGTTGTCTTTCATTTTGTATTTTGTATCAAAATTGCTGTTTCCAATCCGCATTATCTTACATTTGCTAGAGTTGAATCTGAGTAACCAGTCGTCACTCCATTCACATAGTGTATTAATGTAATTTTGAAGTACTTGTTGATCAGACATATTTCTCATAATTCGATATAATTTTGTATCATCAGCAAAGAGTCTACAAACACATTTAACTGCTTCAGGAATATCATTCACAAAGATAACAAATAATAATGGACCTAATACTGATCCTTGTGGTACACCAGAAATAACATTACTCCACTTGGATATATTACCATTAATTACAACACGCTGTTTTCTATCTAAAAGAAAACTTTGAATCCATTGATGCAATTTCCCTGTAATGCCATATGCTGAAAGTTTATGAAGTAAACGTTTATGGGGAACCGTATCAAATGCCTTAGCAAAATCAAAATAAACAGAATCAACTTGTAAATTTTCATCCAAAGCTTCAGTCCAATCATCCAATACTGATAATAACTGTAAAATGGTGCTTCTGTGGTCCCTAAATCCAAATTGATTATCCGACAACATATCATGCATTTTCAAATATTCAATAATTCCCTGTCTAACATTTCGCTCCAGCATTTTACCTACAATAGAAGTTAATGAAACAGGACGGTAGTTACCAGGATCAGATTTTTGTCCTTTTTTATAAATACAAGTCACATTTGCTAGTTTCCAATCATTCGGTATATTTCCTTCTTGTAATGATTTTGAGAATAACGTGTGTAGAGGCATGTATAGTTGATAAGCACATTCCTTTAAAAACTTAGGATGACAATTATCTGCGCCTGCGGCTTTTGAAGTATTTAGAGAATTCAACTGTTTCAAAATGTTCTCAGGGTTTAGATTAACCATATCAATATACTCATTTGAATCAATTCTGCTCTCAAAAACTGGCATATTTGAATCACCTTCCTTTGTAAAAACGGATGTAAAAAAGTCATTTAAAACTTCAGCTTTGCTACTATCATCTGTTATTATGTCTCCATTTACATCTTTCAAATCTCCAATTCCCGTTTTTGATTTAGTCTGCTCTTTTACATAACCCCAGAAGTGTTTTACATTTGTCTTAATATTATCTGCTATTCCTTTCTCATGTTTCCTCTTTGCGTATCTCACTGCCTTTGAAACTTTATTTCTAATTTTACAATATTCTCCATAGGCTTGGTATGAACGACTGTATGTAAACCTTTTCCAAGCATGATACTTTCTTTTCACCATTTTTACACAGTAGTTGTCCATCCACCTAGGTTTATGCCTGGTGCTAACCTTTTTTAAAGGAATAAACTTGTCTGTTACATAATTAATCTGTTTCAAAAAATATTCCCAAAATTCACAAACATTAAAGTTGTGCATAACTTCCCAATCCACATCACTCAAATATTTTCTACACAAGTTATAGTCACCCTTAAAATAATTTTTTCGAGGTTTTGACGATACTTCAAATTCAATGTTACACCTAATGTCAAATGTTATACTGATATGATCGCTTGCTCCTAACTTATCAACGTATCTAACGTTGTTGACTAGTCCCTCTGAATTAGTCAATAACAAATCTAACAAACTAGGATTGTACCCAATTCTATAACGTGTATTTTCATATACATGTTGAAACAAATAATTATCTCTCAATGTTTCAATAAATTTATACGATATATGGTTTTCATTATGTATTGTCGACCAGGAGTCCCAGTTTATGCCCGGGAAGTTAAAATCTCCGACAATTACCAAGTTTTTATGTGTCTTTATATAATCATGAGTAAATAAATTTAACAATAAGTCATTGTTTACAATGTCACTATTTGGGCTTCTGTATATGCCACCAATCAATAATTTTTCTTTCTTATTTATTCTTATTTCGCACCAAGAGGATTCTTTCATAGGCATCTCATTTAAGTTTTCACACTTCTCAGCCGATATAACATCTTTTACATAAATAACAACTCCCCTACAATTTTTTGTAATATTCCCAACAAATGTACTATAACCTGGTAATTTAAATTCACATGGGTGTATATTTGTTTGATCACCATTTTTTGGAAACATTTCAGAAATTACTCCCTATCCATTTCCCTTCCTAACGCCGCGAAACTATTCTGAACTGATGTCCCAAAGTTTCCACCCCGTGACGAGTTACCACCACGACCACGTCCTTTACCTTGAAATGATCCAATCCATTATTTACCACTGTTTTCACTATTTTCCCTCTACGAATTACAAGGCCAGTCTCCCCTTCATTCTTCCTTTTACGCCTTTCTTGCCTTAATTCAAAGGCCAATTTCCTTTGATTTTTTGTTAGATCCGGTGTCACATAGATATTTGAGTATTTGGCATCATTTTTAAGTCTACGTGTCGCTTCAAGAATCCTTCTTTTGGTATCAAAATCTTTTACCGTTAAACGTAGCGGCCTCGCTTTCTGTCTTCCTTCAAATATTCTGCCAAGACGAGTACATTCCCCCATCTGTACATTACAACTCAATTTATCATTAACTATTTCTGATATACTCTCACTATCCTGTCTCTTTTTTATCCCCCGCCGAAAAAGTTCGGCGGGGGATATAGAAATAGTCTCCGTCTGTCCGTCCGTCCGTCCGACCTTCCGTCCGTCCGTCCTTCCGTCCGACATTTTTGTCCGGAGCATATCTCTAAAAGTATTTGAGTTATCAACTTGAAACTTCATAGGTGGATAGACCTCATTGAGGAGGAGTGCAGTGCACAAGAATGATAACTCTACCCTGCATAATTTTTGAGTTATTGCCCTTTGTTATTTTTCAAAATTGATTTTTGTCCAGAGCATAACTCTAAAAGCCTTTGAGATATCAACATGAAACTTTATAGGTGCATAGATCTCACTCAGGGGGTGTGCAGTGCACAAGAATGATATCTCTACCTTTCATAATTTTTGAGTTATTGCCCTTTGTTATTTTTCATACCTAATTTTTCACCCGAGTGGAGCATAACTCAAAAGTGTTTGAGATGTCTACATGAAATGTCATAGGTGGATAGATTTTATTGAGGAGGAATGCTGTGCACAAGAATGATAACTCTTCCCTGTACAATTTTTGAGTTATTGCCCTTTGTTCTTTTTCATACTATTTTGTCCAGAGTTTATCTCAAAAAGTATTTGAGGTATCAACTTGAAGCTTCATAGGTGGATGGATCTCATTAAGAAGGAGTGCAGTGCACAAGAACGATAACTCTACCCTGCATAAATGTTTAGTTATTGCCCTTTTTTATTTTTCAAAATTAATTTTTGTCCAGAGCATAACTCAAAAGGCCTTTGAGATATCATTATGAAATTTCATAGGGGCATAGATCTAATTCAGGAGGTGTGCAGGGCACAAGAATGATAACTCTACCTTTTATAATTTTTGAGTTATTGTCCTTTGTTATTTTTCATACTTAATTTTTCAATTCAATTTTTTTCTCAAAAAGTATTTGAGGTATCAACTTGAAACTTCATAAGTGGATAGATTTTACTGAGGAGGGATGCAGCACACAAGAATGATGTTACCTACCCTGCATTATTTTTCAGTAATTGCCCTTTGTTATATTCAGCCATCAGTATTCACATAGGTTTCAAATCTGTAATCACTATAGCCATCAGTTTTCATTACCAAAAGACCTCCTAAAATGGAATTATTCTGCTCTACTACTTGTACATTCTTCCAATGAGCAAACACATTCGGCGGGGGATGGCCATGTTGACATGGCTCTTGTTTCATTCAGTTCTTCAGCACTACTTTCTGGCAAACCTAAAAAGATAACATTGAGCTTTCTACTTTGGATTTCTCTCTCTTCCTGTAATGCCTCGTGCACTGCCTCTTGAATATTACTATCAGCCTGTTCATTTTCCCTAGAAGTAGGGGATGTTGCCAAATCTAACCTTTCTTCGATATTTTTAATTTTCTCCTCAACTGAAGTCAGTTGTGCAAGTATTCTCTTTAGTCCTGGGAGGGCAATATTACAATGTTGACGAGTCCACAACACAGACGAATATCTTCCGACCTCCTCAAAGATTCCATTTCTCAGTTTACTGCACTTTTGACAGTACCAGGTTCCACATAAGTCACATTCAATAGATTTCCTACTTTCTAAGTCATTTTCACAGTCAGTACAAGATACTGTATCTTGCTGTTTAGACTTCTTAGCGTTTACTGGACTCGAAGCCATGCTCTTTTTTGGCGGCA